GGGTAGCATATACATTTAATAAATAAATGGGGGGGGGGTGTTAGTGGAGGGAGAGTGTGATGAAGCTGAAAAGAGGGCTGGCAGGATTCAGGACAGGGCTGCCCATTGGCCAGAAGGGATCGGGGAAACTGCAGAGGGAAATTTGAGACTGTCCTGGCTGGTCCAGCCAGTTCCACCCTTTTCTCTGCTGAGTTTGGTAAGGATTGGGCGGGTGGGCTCTCTGATGCTTTCCCAGCGTGGCCCGAGGAGGCCTTTCTGCTCAGCAGTGGCTCCCACTTTCTCAGGGTGGGTGGGTTTTAAAAAGTACCCAGGATCTTGATCCCCAAAAACTCTCGGTTGGAAATCATGCTGCCTCTCTCAAAAACTGCCTTCATTTTTTTTAATCACTGAAGACAAACTGGTGGCATCGTGTGTGTTGCTCCAGGAGCAGGAAGGAGCCCTGTCAACCTCTGACAGATCATGCGGTGGCACCTGACACGTCCCTGCCATTCCGGTTTTTGAGATCTTACTTAGCAACAGCTGCCCACAAGCCCAGAGGAGCATAATATAGCTGTGAGCTCTATGAAAACTCGATGCCACTAGCTTGAAGCAGCCAGCAGTCCTCGCTGCCAGCTTGCTTCTGCCATCTCTTTGCAGGACATCTCAACATCATAAATGTGCTTCAGGGACAACGTGCTGTGGGTACTGGATGGAGAGCTGGGTGGCTGGCAAGCGAGCAGGCTGTCAGAGGGAGGCAGTGATGGGCAGGGCTGCTGCATCAGACGGGAAGCGAGTGGGGGTGGGGGTGGGGGGGTGAAAATGGAAAGCCCCTGCCGCCCTGCAAGGTTTTTTTAAAAGCCACATTGTTTGACTGGGAATCCATTGCCACCCTGCTCTGACAGCCGGCCAGTGATGGGATTCAAAAAATTTTTACCACTGGTTTTGTGGGTGTTGCTTGGTGGGCCTGGCTTGGTGGGTGTGGCAGGGAAGGTCACTGCAAAATCCCCATTCCCTCCCCACCCCACTAACCTGCTTTCCAGCTCCATTCTCCTGTGCAGGGCAACCATAGAGCCAGCCGATCAGCTGGGACTCAATGGGAGGCAGAGAAGAGATGGGGTTGGCAGGGCCAGTCAGAGGTGGTATTTTCTGGGTCTCCAAACTACTCAACATTTCTGCTACCGGTTCTTCAGAATTGATCAGAACCGGCTGAATATTACTTCTGGCCTGTCTGTGAAGATGTCTGGGCTCAGCCAAGACTGGATGATGAGGCTGGGGGTGTTGTTGATTTCTAGGAAAATTCATTGCAACTTTCTCTGGATTGGGCTGGAGGCCTCTCGATGGTGCAGGTGTGCAGTTTGGGGTGGGGACCTTTAGCAATAGTACTTAGACTTATATACCGCTTTATAGTGCTTTACATCCCTCTCTAAGCGGTTTACAGAGTCAGCCTCTTGTCCCCAACAATCTGGGTCCTCATTTTACCCACCTCGGAAGGAGGGAAGGCTGAGTCAACCTTGAGCCTGATTGATTGACCTTTGCTTCCAGAAGGACCAGTACCTCACTCTGTTTTTGTCTATGGGAGGAAGGTGCATTTTACTGGTTTTTTTAAAAAAAATAAAAAAATTAACCTATAAAATGGATATATGCCTATCAAGTAGATATGATAGGAGGACAACCATGTTGCTGCAATGGTAGCCAAAACTCAGAAGGAGTCTGGTAGCCCCTGTTCAGACAAACAAGTTTAATCTGAACATTTATTGACTCATGTTCCTTCTAGTAATGGGAGTCAGGAGAACCACTTGGTTTCATGAATCCCTCTTTGACTTAAGCGAGATCTAAAGAACAAACTGCCCGGAGTCATCTAGGAGGGATGGGTGGTATAGAAAACAAACAAAAAAGCCTTTATTAAAAGCAGAAGCTTTTCTGATCTGTAGCTCACACTTTCTTAGCCTGAAAAGGAGCTTCCAGCTTCCTCCTGATTGATGCCTATCAAAGAAAGCCGAGCTTCTCATAAACAGCCTGATAAAAATTCCACTTGGTGTAGGCACACTCCTTTATTCATCATTTGCTTCTACTGTACTGTGAAGCAGAAAGGAGAAGGTTTCTCCAGAAAAGCCAAACAGGGTTTATTCATGCCAGCTCATAGTGGCCCTAACCATTTGTTTCCAAGCTTCAAACAAATTAGCCAACCGACCAGCCACCTAATTCTCCACTCTGTCCATGTTTTGCTTCTTCACGCAGGCGGCCATTCAACTGTCTTCCTTCCCAAGGGTGGTAGATAAAGAGGGTGGAACAGGAAGCTTTCCCCCTCATCTACAGAAAGGATCCCTTGGGTTAGAAAAAAATGGGAATCACAATGGTGCCAAGGTGTAAATCTGAGCTTTCTTTGTATTGGCTAAAAGACAGTTGCAAGAATGGTACGGGTAGGACACACAAAAAAAATAGCTTTTCAAATTAGCCATGGTGCCTCCATCAGTTTCCCTTCATTGGTTATTGTTGCCCTGTATTTCATTCACAGGAACCAGAGAGAAATCTTTAGAATATCGCCTCTACAGTGGTGGCATTCTACCGGTTCAGACCGGTTTGGCTGAACCGGTAGTAAAAAGAAAAAGAGCCTCCGACGATCAGTCGTCCCACCTGTCCCTGCACTTTTCTCTTCTTTATCCTCTCAGCTGATTGGTGCTGTAGGTCTCAGCAGGTGTGTGGAAAGCTGCACACGCATGTTAGGTGCTCGTGCACCTGCATACAAACCGGTAGGGGAACAGGTAGGATCCCACTGCTACACCTCTACTAGATCTTTCTTGTTCTGGTTGATCTCCTAGCAGGTGGCAAGGAAACATGACGGGATAGGTCTTATCTTTGAAAGTATTCCAGGCCACTAAGCCTAAAATCAAGATGTAGAAAAACATAGATGCTTTCTTGCCCTTTCCCCCAAATTCGGTACTTCAACAGATTTGTATTTTTGTGCACACATTGTACAAAATGTACTTTTTATCTTCTCACTTCAGGAAAGGATGAATTTCGGTGCACAGGTGCATTTGATTTCCCTTCTAAAGATTTTCTAAAAGTGTGAACTGGGCAATTCTATTAAAATCCAGATTGAACTACTTTCCCTTCTGTCCTTTCCTGTTCCTGAGAAGATCCAGAGAAACAAAAGACAGTTTATTTTTTAGTGCAAGCGAGAAGGTTCCAAGGTTCTTCTAGGATCAGAAGAATCCAGATGGAAAAATGTAGAACCAGCTCAAAGACCCCGTTGAAGCCACCAGCCCTTCATCCCCAGAAGGCTGCTACCCAAAACACTGTGGAATACCAAGGAAAATAGATGTTCCTCAGTTCTTCTCTGCATGAAAGCCCTGCTGCTATTCTTGGCCACTCTCGTCATCGAGTTAGATACAGCCAAAGCTGGAAAAAAAAACACCCTATAGCCTGTAAATTTGATTTCCCAGATAGACTGCAACAGAATTCAAGTTTATTCTGATGCTTTGGAAAATAGACTGAGCTTCCTCTTCTTTGAGGGACTGCCACAAAAAAGGGGGGACCAACTAATTTTCCAAAGTCCCTGAAGGCAGGATAAGAAGCAATGGATGGAAGCTAATCAAGGAGAGAAGCAACCTGGAACCAAGGAAGAATTCCCTGACAGGGAGATCAATTAACCAGTGGAACAACTTGCCTCCAGAAGTTGTGGGTGTTTTGTCAATGGAGGCTTTCAAGAAGAGACTGGACAGCCATTTGCCTGAGATGATATAGGATCCCCTACTTGACCAGAGAGTTGGACTAGAAGACCTCCAGGTCTCTTCCAACTCTGGTATTCTTTGGGCCTTTTTGAAATCATCTCCTCCCCAGGGATGGGATCTGACTGGTATAACTACCGGTTCTGTCTATTAGCGTTGCGCACGCATGCGCGAGTCGCACGAATGCAATTTACGACCTGCTGAGCTGCCCGGACACCTGAGCAGTGCTGCGTGCAAGCCCTTTTTTCCTGCTTTTTCAACTGCAGCTGTGTCGTGCAAAGCAGCTGCGGTTGAAAAAGCAGGAAATAAAAGTCAGGTAAGAGCCCGGGAGGGAGGGTGGGCCACAACAGCAGCAGACATAGAACCGGTTCTATGCCTGCTGCTCTTCAGAACTACCGGTTCTACAGAGGTGGAAAGAACCGGTAGAAACCCACCCCGGCTCCTCCCCCTTCGTGCCACTTCTCTTCCCTGGCTTCACACGGGTCCCCCTGTCCCATCAGGGCCTTTTCTCCCTTACACAAAGAGTCGCTCAAACACAGACTGATTCAATGGGGTTTTATTGGTTTCCCTTTAACATCTCAAGTGCTTCAGATCATCCCACGGCGTAGGCGGTACACGAATGTTAAACCCGAAAAGCGGATGTGTGGCGAAACATCTACCTAGACACAGAGCCACCTTTTCAGATTCCTGAACCAAGGGTGACATTAAATGCTCGTCCGCTGGGAGAACTTTGGCAGGAATGGAGGGGAGGGGGCGTTTCTGCCCCTGACACCTTGACAAAGAGTGTTGAATATGCAAGAGAATACAGAGCCCTTCCAAAGCCCACCAAGGCAGCTCAGAGCCACCTCTCTTCCCGCAGTGTGGGAGGGAATTGGATTCCAGGCTGTTTAATGCATGCACACAAGAACACACAGCCTCACCCCCAGAGCCTGTCTCCTTCGGGGCATCCAGAAAGGAAGGAGCGGGGCATCGCCCAAGTCTTTCGGAAGCACTCAGCTTCGTGTTTTCATGCTTGGATTTGTTCCCAGATGCTATGTCTGGATCGAGGCCACAGTCCAAGGCTGTTTTCATGGTGATGGAGGGGGTGGGCGGGGAAGGAAGAGCCATGGGGGCCCAGCACCACTTTCCACCTTCTTGACAGGCCTCTAAATAGTCACCCTCAGAATCGTTCCCGGGGTCCTCTTGGCGTGAAGCCAAGCCCAGTATTCCGTCTTGGCAACTGAACGAAGAGGGAGGGTTCTTGAGGGCCCCCATGAATTCAGACCCAGGCCACAATCGGTTGGCCAAACAACTGGCAGTTTAGGATGCGGAACCCTAAACAGCCTCCAGTTCAGATCTAGGCTGCCCGTGGAGAGGGAGCACAGCGAGGGTTACTCTTTAGAAACAAGGTTTTGCTGGTTACGCCATCGAAGGGGAGGGTGGGTCACACATGCAGTCTCAATGTTACACCTCTGTACACACGGCATCTCCGGCGGTCCGATCCAAGGCCATCCAGGGACAGGTTGGGCTCAGACAGGAGTGGTTCGTCTGTTAGCGGGGTTGTTATGCAAAGATTCCTTGAACTCTTTAGGGAGGGAGTTGTGGATCTGTAAAAAACCGTGATCTCTCTCTGAGTTCAGCAAAGTCCCAATAGTCACCTTGGAAGGATCCCTGGAAAGAGTGAACATGGAGATGTCGGTGGATGGGATGGTGTTAAAGCCTTTGCCAATGGGAGACAGGTCCCTCGACCGAGGCTCTGTGGAGCGAGAGCTGGATCGCCGTCGGAACCGGTACCGATAGGTGGGCAGGCGGGCAAAGGTGGACTTCTTCAGGAGGGCCACGGAGTGAGATTTGGCCCGGATCTGGCGGTGCTTCTCGATGTACATGTGGACAGCAACAACACCAACCATCTCGGCAATGATGAAGGAGAGGGCACCAAAGTAGAAAGACCACCCGTAGGAATAGCTCTTCTTGGAGTCACTCTGCCCGGGGTCCCCTGCGTTGGCCGAGATGTAAACTATGATCCCAATGATGTTGCTGAGCCCTGAAAGGAAGAGCAGAGAGCAAGGCAACGTAAGTTGGGTCTCTGGCATCTGAAAAGAGACACAGTCCAGCTCAGCATCTGCTGCCACTTTCTGATGCTCTTGGTCAATGTTTTTCAACTTTGGCAACCTTAAGATTCTGGATTTCAATTCCCAGAATCCCCCAGCCACATCTCACATAGACAAACTGCAGACACCTTTCTAGTATCAGTGCTGTAAATAGACCTGTAGAGTTTCCCGTGAATTTACAAATTTCCATTATGTCATCCATATGCTTCACCACTTAAGAGTGGCAGAATACAATCACAACTGGCAAGGTGTTCAACCACTGAAACCAGTGTGCATGGTATATCTGGGTCAAGACAAGGAAATTCTGGGTCTATTTAGGATCCTTCCCCCAGGCTTTCCTAGCAACGGAGGAGACCCCACAAAGTGCTTCTGTTCTGATGCCAGAACTCAGGAGAACTGTATTTCCTGGTCCTTTTTGACCCTGGGAGCAGGGTGGGATGCTACTGGTTCTCCCCAGTTTGGGCGAACCGGTTGTTAATTTTATAGCTGGTTCGGTGACCTGGCAAATCCCATCCCTGGCTGGCCCCGCCCACCCCACCCTGCCCACCCCAGGAGTCCCCAGACGGCCCATTTTGGATTCCACGTAAGTGCAGGGCCCGTGTAGAGGCTTGGGGAGGGTGAAAAATGCTCCCCCCGGAAACTCCGGAAGGCCGGAAATGGGCCTGTTTCCAGCCTTCAGAGAGCCTCTGGAGCCCAGGGAGGCCATTTTTGCCCTGGAGACTTGAGGAAAGCCCCTCCCGAGCCCGGGGCGGGTGAAAACGCCCTCCCCGGTGGTGCAGGAAGCCGATTTGGCCACACCCACCCAGCAACCGGGCAGAGAACTGGTTGTTAAATTTTTTGAAGCCCACCCCTGCTGGGAGGGAGGTCCACCTATGGAAGATGTGGTCTGCATCTGTCTCGTACAAAACCTTTGAAGGGCAGCTACAGATCCCTCATGGAGAGGGAACTTCGTCCGTCGGAACCAAAGAAGCAATTGGACCTTTTTATCCTTTTGTTTTTAATATGGTATTAGCAGTGGTCACCACCCATAATCACTCTATGAGAGAGCTGGGTAGTTCCTAAATATGATAAATAAATAAATAAAAATTCAAGTGACATCAAGAGGAACAGTGGGTGAGACGCTCTGCCCAAGGCCAGGGTGGGCTGGCATCTCCTGGATCTGTTTTTTTAAAATGTTGTATCTGATTTTTCTTTTAAAGAGGCCACAGACTTGGTTCAGACTTGGAATCAGAGGAGCAACAGGAAAAATGCAAGATGGATTTCAGTTATGAAGATAAGACGGTGTTTCATGGATGTGACCTTGAAGGTGTGGAAGCCCGTGATTAAATGTGTAACATGCATAAAAGGCATGTATAAAAATTCTGAAGGCAACATAAATATGATGTCATTCTTTCCGGCTCCTTTCATGACATCTGCACAGCTCCACATTTGGCTCTGTGAAATCACTGTTTTCTAAGTCTTGCAATTCAAAATTTGAGTTTATTTTTACTTTTGCAGTTTCTTAATCATTGAGCCCATAAAACTGGCCTCATGTAACAGTTCGATATCCTTTCCCTTGTCTAGCTTCGCACAGGCAATGTCCAAATGTGATTTCTTTACTTTATTAGATAAAGCCAGTCGACGTAACTGCAGGCTGTTATTAGGGCTTTAGTGCTAAGAGCAGCCAGCGGTGGCTTAGGCAATAAACCATGGTTGAAATACATTATGACTTACTGTAAAGCACAAAAACAATAATTGTGGCTTGTTAAAACAAATCATAACTTAGTATAATGAGTGAGTCTTGTTTTCTCCGCCTTCTCAGTGGTGGTATGCTACCGGTTTGGCCCAGTTCCCCTGAACCGGTAGTAAAAATTACTACCCGTTGAGCCCAACCAGTAGTTAAAAAAAGCCTCCGACAATCAGTTGGGAGGATAAAAGACCCCAAAGCGAAAAGCGCACGGGAGGGTTGCTCCTGGCTTTTTGTTTCTTCCTCCTCTCAGCTGATTGGCTTGTTAGGTGCATACGTGCGCATGTGCACACACACAATCACCCAGCGAACCGGTAGCGACTAAGCTAGGATCCCACAACTTCCCCTTCTGTATCTTACCTGTACATTCTTTGGTCATCTGCTAGGATCCCCTGGTATTATATTTTTTTATGGAAAATGCTCCAGCATGAAATCATCCTACTTAATGTTGCAAGGTTATTTCAAAGGGCCCTGAGCCAGGCTGGTGTCAAACGTGGTGAATTGCATAAAAATGGAACTCACCTGCGGAAACGAAGAAGATTCCTGCGCTCAGGATGACGTTGAGTTTGCTCTTGTAGAACTCACTGGCCGCCACGCAGAGCCCTCCGAAGAACAGGAGTCCCACGCTGAGGAGGGGGAAGATGCTGGAGGCTCTTACGGCACCTGGAGGGAGACAAGGAGAGGGTTGGGGGTCTGGAGAGGGCAGTTGCAGGCTGGTCCAGAGCGAGACCATCCCAGGGTGGCAGCAGCCTCTGCAGAGAGGCTAAAATGGCAGCGGTGACTTTGCAGTCAAAGCCCATTTTGCAGATGTCATGTGGGCTTCAAAAATTTTAGCAAAGGGTTCTCTGCCCAGTTGCCTGGGTGTGCGTGGCCATGGTGTGCATCGCCTAGTCGGCCTCCTGCACCACAGCGGGGGGACGGGGACATTTTTGTTTTCCCTGGGTTCCAGAGGCTTTTGTCAAGCCCCTGGGAGGGTGAAAAGGGCCTCCCTGGGCTTTGGAAGCCGGAAACAGGCCCATTTTTCACCTTCCCCAAGCCTCTGCATGCACCCTGCCCTTACCTGCATCTAAAACAGGCTATGTGGAGACTCCTGGGAGGGGAGGGGAGGGGAGGGGTGGGTGGGACCACCCAGGAGTGGGATTTGGGGGTTTTCTGAACTGCACAGAATCTTAGCTAGGGGCTCTCCTGAACCCCTGAAAACCCTCAGTAGCCCATCCCTGACGACATGGATAGAGACTTCGATTACGGCTACCAAGTAGACTTTTTCGGCCAGCGTAGAGAAACCAAATTGCTTGCTATCTCTTTCAGCAGACCAACCCAGCCATTGGGAGGTATCAGCACATCACCTGTGTTGGGTTTGAGAAAAAGGCTAGAGGAGAGACACTGTTTGGATTATCTGCTCGGAATAACAGAATTGGAAGGGACCTTGGAGGTCTTCTAGCCCAATCCCTTCACCAGTGGTCCCCAACCTTTGTGGCATCACGGCTTGGCTGGTGGGGAGGGAGAGGGGAACTGGGCCACGTGAGTGGCAGGCCTGTGCGCGCACACACATGCATGCAGTTCACATCCTGCAAGCAGTTGGGTGGCGCGCACACACATGTGCACACAGCTCAGCTGCAAGTTGAGCTGCATGCCCGTGTGTGTGCATGCCACCCCACCACTCATGTGGCCCAGTTGCAAATGAGCCACAGCCTGGTGGTGGGCTGCAGCCCAGGGGTTGGGGACCCCTGTCCTATATAATTCCAGACAAATGCTTATCCAATCTCTTCTTAAAAACTTCCAGTGTTGGAGCATTCACAACTTCTGGAGGCAAGCCGTTCCACTGGTTAATTGTTCTCACTGTCAGGAAAGTTCTCCTTATTTCTAGGTTGCTTCTCTCCTTGATTCATTTCCACCCGTGGCTTCTTGTCTTGCCTTCTAGTGGCAGCCCCTCAAATATTGGAAAACTGCTCCAACAGAAATTAGTTAATGAAGGTAAACATCACTAATTATTTCACTGCTTTAGAATGAATGCAGTGCTTAGCAAAGGGTTTAGGGTCCCTGTTTCAAAACAGGATTTGGGCACACCCCAATTTGACTCCCCCCATGCGGCCCACAGTGTGGTTGCCCCACGTGTGGGTGAGACAGCCGTTCCTGACTGAGTCCCCCACCTCTTGCCCCCATCAGGATCCCTGAACTTACGCAAGAGATACTCAGCCGCATCCTGTTCATAATCAGCATCTTCTGGAAAATGATTGATCTGCTTGCAGATTCCTCGGAAGGTCCCTGAGGGGGTAAAAGGGGGGGTGGATGTAAGACTCTCGGAAGCACCAGGATGCTGGACCAGGCCAGCCAGGGCTGTGAAGGGCCCTGCATCTCAGGACAACATAGCCCCTCGGCCTGGCTCCAGGAGGGGAGAAAGAGGAGGCCGAGCTACCATGTGATGCTCTGGGACAAGGCACGGAAGCAACTCAAACTTTCCCCCAAATGCTCCCACATTTATGGCAAGTTCTGGAGCAAAGCGCTTACACGCACACCCAGCAGCCTCTGGCTGCGAGTAGTCCAGCAAAACACTGTTAGCACAATGGCTTCAAGGCAAGAAGTCCACGAAGCAAAGGAACAAGGCAACGATAAGGCAAGAAGTCCAGCAGACTCCAGACGTCAGCAACATCACACAAAATTCCATGAATTCAGCGCTTGTTCCTGACAAACAATCCTCCCCACAGTGTCTCCTTAAGTCTTAGTCCCCAGGTGTGCCTTGTGAAGAGGGGTGGGGCACTCTCCTCCTGAGTCGTCGGGTTGGCCTGTGCCATTCCTGACTTCTCTCCACTCTCCGTCCTCAGGGATCAGGAGGGGGTGGTCCTTGCTCATCGCCGGAGCTCCATCGCTCCTCATCTCCACTGCCTGCCCTCTCTCGGTCATCCTGCCCCCGTTCCTTCCTGCTGGCAAGCCATCCCAAGCCCCAGGGAAACCATGGCGGTCTGGTCCTGCTCCGAAGCCCATGGGGCCACCCATCGACCTCCATTGGCTCCAGCCCCAGCTTGTCCTCCTCCGCGGACTCAGACTCTGGCGGGGCCATGACACACCGTCCATCCTCCCAGGCCATTCTAGAACCCTGCACAACGTTAAGGTCCTGCCATGCTGCTTTTTAACCGAGTTGGTCAAGCTCCAAGCCAGCCCAGCAGTTCGCACTGAGCGTTCTGTGCAAGGAGCCCCCCCCCCTTGCACTTTTTCCCCCCCCCTGCCCCTCTAGCAGCCCCCGGGAGTTGTGCAGAGAATCACCCACCAGCAACGACAGACAGAGAAAATGGACCTGCAGCCACCACTGAAGGTGGGCAAGCATCCCAAACCCGTGTCCAGAATTCATTTAGCTGTTGATTTCTCATTCAAAATTTTAAACTCTTCTCCTGGAGAATCCTTTTAAAAGAGTTCTATAAAATTAGACAGATAGCTCTGACATACAGACAGATCCGGCCCTCCAGGGATCTCCAACCTTGGCAACTTTAAGACTTGTGGAGCTTTGCTTTGCTGGCTGAGGAATTCTAGAAGTCCATAAGCCTTAAAGCTGCCAAGGTTGGAGACCCCCTGCTCTAAATCCCACCCCCAGGGTCAAAAGTCGATGCCGGGACCACATTGCCAGTAATTCCCAATCACCCCTGGTACAACTCATGCAATTCTTAGTCAATGGTGGTATGGGCTGTGCACCTTGAGTTTTACATTCCAGGGTTGCCTGAGGTGGGTTGAATTTAACACACTGTAAACATACATACATACAAACACACCAGTAATGGGATTCTACTGGTTCGGCCTGGTTCAGATGAACCGGTAGTAAAAAAAAAAAAAAAAACCGGTTCCCCGTTCACCTTATTTCTTTTTTATCCTCCCGACGATCAGCTGTTCTGATGATCAGCTGTGCTGGGATCCCCCTCACTGTCTTACTGCTTCGCCCAGGAGGCTTCCCTGAGGCCCAGGAGGCCAAAATATGGAGCATGGGGGGGGGGGTGCTTACACGCTCCATTTTTTGCCTTCCTGGGCCTCAGCGAAGCCTCCTGGGAGCAAAAACAACCCCCCCCCACCCCGCCGGCCAGGAGGCTTCCCTGAGGCCCAGGAGGAAAAAAAGAAACTGCACAAAAAATGGCCACTCCCACCTAGCCACGCCCACAGAACCAGTAATAAAAATACGTGCATCCCACCCTTGAAACACACACACACATGCACACACACACACACAGACTCCTTGAGAGCATCACCTCAGCTCATCCCCTGCTGGCTGGGCTCCTTCTGGATTATCACCCCCATCACATACTCCTAGCTTTCCTGCAGGGCTGCTCCTCTGCTTAACACTGATTCCTTTATTTAAATTGATATTGCTGTTGTAACAGGATTAATCCCTTGAGGAGACAGCAAAGTTTGGCAATCTCTCCAAAATTCAATTGAAATTCGGTTAAGGAGGCTGAAAGCAAAGCGAGGCTTACCTCGCCCCCACACCTCCTCCCCCCTCCCCCTCCTCCTCCTCCTCCACCCCTGAGCCACCCTAGTGCAGCTGGACCTAGCAAAGACCACCATGGTTGGTGCCCCTGGCCAGAAACCTCCCGGTATGCAAGTGTAGCTTTATTTTCAATAACACAAATCTCTAAGTTGCTCGCAAGCTTGAGCTGCTTCTCCTGGTTGTAACTTCTCTCCTTCTGTCTCCCCCCCTCACGGCAGATGGAATCGGCTTTTGCTGTGTAGGTAACATCTGTCTACTTGGAATCATAATCCATAAAAACAAAGACAATGACAAACCAATTCATGGATGTTCCTGATTTCCTAACTCTGAAGTGACCCCATGGTCACCTCTAACAGCACCTGGGATGACTCTGCCCTCCGGTTGTGACAGCTCCCACCTGCATAGACTCTCCCCCTCGGCCATGTTTTAACAGATTAACAGAGTTGGAAGGGACCTTGTAGGTCATCTAATCCAACCCCACACCCAAGCTGGAGACGCCACACCATTTCTGACAGACGGCAGTCCAGTCTCTTCTTCAAAGCCTCCAGGGATGAAGCTCCCACAACTTCCAAAGGCAACTTCTGTTCCATTGGCTGGTTGTTCTCACTGTCAGAAAATCCCTCCTTACTTCCAGGCTATATCTTTGATAGATTGGTAATGGGTTCATATTTATGACCGTTGCTGGGTCCTGGGTTCATTGACAAGCAAAGTCAATGGGGAATCTAGATTCACTTAATGACCAGGCATTTGGATCTTTCCTTCCTCCTGCTGTATTTGCAGACATTGTTTCTTGCTTGTTTAGTAAGGAACACTAGATCACAGGTTAACCATAAAAGATTGACAGCATTGGAAGGGACCTTGTAGGTCATCTAGTCCAACCCCCCCTGCTCAAGCAGGAGACCCTACACCATTCCTGACAAATGGCTGTCCAATGTCTTATTAAAAAGCCTCCAGTGATGAAGCTCCCACAACTTCGGAAGGCAACCTGTGTTTCATGGGTTGATTGCTGTCACTGTCAGAAAATTCTCCTTATTTCCAGGCTGAATCTCTCCTTGATCAGTTTCCATCCATTATTCCTTGTCTGGCCTTTGGGGGCTTTGGAATATAGCTTGACCCCCTCGTCCTTTCTGTGGCAGCCCCTCAAATATTGGAAGGCTGCTATCCTGTCTCCCCTGGTCCTTCTCTTCCCTAGACTAGCCAGGCCCGGTTCAAATGCAGCATCCAAGCTTCCTGCATCAAAGCAAGGGACTCTCTAGGGCTGGAGGTGAAGACTGCCCTGTGGTGGGATCAGTTCTCTACATCTTGAGTGGTTGACTGACCCCATTTCTGGACGAAGCGCGAAGGTCTTCCTGCGCATACTAATTGGGCCTCTTGGCCCTGGCAGCCTCGCGCTCGCTTCCGTTGGAGTCCTGCTTCAGATCTTCCTTTCGGGCCATCCAATTTAACTTGCCCTTGGGCCAGGAGACAATCTTGCTCAGGCCTGCGTCCCATGATGGTGATAACAATGGACAAAGTTGCACAACAAACGTTCCCCTGCACAACCCCCTCCCCCCTGAAATCAGGCCAGCAAACAACCATGTTTGATCTAGAGATTGTGGCAGTCAGCCTGGAGCTGCGTTGGCAGAACTTAGAGGCCATCTTAGGATTGCTCTATAATTTAATAAAGGGAAAAAACCCACAAACAAATAAAGTGATCTTCCTCTGCTTGAATTCACTTATCAGTTTCCATTCCCCCATCCCTGCTTCCCAGTGGCCTTCTGCGCAACAAGAGCTAAGTGCAATATCAGGAATATTGCCTTGTAAACAGTTAGAGTTCAGGCTACCTAGGAAAAAAAGTCTGACCACAAAGCAGCCTCCAAATTCAAATCTGATGTTTAGGCACACCTGGTGTCCAGTCCTCTCCCTTGAGAATGAATGTGGGGTTTGTTTCTTAAGGAAAAACTCACAGCCTGCTGCCTTCTTTAAAAAGTTTTGCTCGGGTCATGGCCCTCCGACAGCTCATCTTCAGTTCTCTGCATTTAGGGATCTGCATTGATATTTTCTCTGTATTTCTTTTTATATCCTCACAGAAATAACTATCCTGCCCTCCTCCTCCTGCCTACACCACAGTCGCTGCATCCATTGACATTTTAGAATGCCAGCACTGAGCTTTGGGTTACGTTTCACATCTCTGATAGCTTCATTTTTTGTGAGTCCTTCATTGTGTCTCTGTTTAAGCAGTTGTCATAAAGGGTAGGGCTGTTTTCAGTTGTGGCAGGAATATTCCGTGGCAGTGCAGTGCATCATGCCAAAAATCTCCCCTCTAACAATGGTATAGGCACATGGTCGTAGCTAGTTTCAGTGAATCGTCTAGTCTAAAGAAAAGAAGGACTAGGGGAGACATGATAGCAGGGTTCCAATATTTGAGGGGCTGCCCCAAAGAAGAGGGAGTCAAGCTATTCTCCAAAGCACCTGAAGGCAGGACAAGAAGCAATGGGTGGAAGCTGATCAAGGAGAGAAGCAACCAGGAATTAAGGAGAAACTTCCTAACAGTGAAGACAATTAACTAGCGGAACAGCTTGACTCCAGAAATTGTGGGCTCTTCATCACTGGAGGTTTTAAGAAGAGTGTAAACAGTCACTTATCTAAAATGGTATAGGTTCTCCTGCTTGAGCAGAGGGTTGGACTAGAAGACCTCCAAGGTACCTTCCAGTCTATTTTCTATTCTATTCTATTCTATTCTATTCTATTCTATTCTATTCTATTCTATTCTATTCTAGCTTCTATTCCTATTCCTATTCCTATTCCTATTCCTATT